GCAGGAGTGCGCCATCTTTGATGCAAGGTTCACAGATGAAGAAGAGGATGAATTATAGTAATATGTGACGCTCACTCTCTTCCTCCACTTCAAAACCAGGAGTGCTGGCTAGCATCCACGCACTGTTGGTACACAGAATACCAAGCTGTCTCTTCCAGCACAAGTTCTGCTTGGCTTACAAATATTACCATTCGAAGATCATTTTCAGAAAAGGTTCCTAAATAATAATTCTTCTTTGAGGGTACCAGCATACAATACAAACTGTAGCCAGCTGTACTGAGAAATGTCTGAAATTGCAAGGATACATTACAGGGAGATGATGGAGCTGCTGCTTCTTCCATGACCTGATTCAATAAACCGCATCAATCCCAGTATGAATGGTATCATCAGACAAACCAAAAAACCTGCTCTAAAACTGAAAGAAGCAGTACAGCACAGTAGCAGGGGAAGAATACAGGCTTTAATGCCAGGCTACCTGGCTTTAAATTTGTCTACACCGTTTACTATGGCAAATTATTTAATCACTCTGAGCCTTTTCCATTTACTTCATCATTTGCTAAGAGCATAAATGAGACAGACAGTGCATGCAATGTGCTTAGTAGAGTGCCTGACCCACAGTAAGCCTGCACGTTGGCTGGTGTTACTACATCATTAACTCAGGGATTCCTTCACTTGACCCCATACCTGACGTTTAACGTTTCTGAAACAAGGTTGCATCACACAACCAAAGGAGTCTTATGACTGGCTGCATTATTTTTCTTTATTAATGATACATAAAAGGTTCAATTTATAAACAATGCTCAAATTTGATAAAATGTGGTATTGAGTTTCTCTCTCTGCTCCAAGTCATAAATCCTTATTTCTCCAGGCATGGTCTTCACCCAAAGTCTCTCTCCAGTCATGTGTAGCTTAAGTATATTAAGACAGGATCAAAAACAAAAACAAAAACAAAACAAACTATAGTCTACAGGATAATTAGGCTAGCCACATTTTTTCTTCAAGTTTTACTAAAACACAACTATACTCATTAGTTTATAGTTTATGCTTCCATGGCTGAGTTATAACAGAGATTGTATGGCTTATAAAGCCTTATGTAATATCTGGCTGTTTACAGAAAAGGTTTATTAGCCCTGGTTTAAAAAACAATCTTCTGAGAAAAAATTCAAATTTTTATAGTATATCTGCCTTCCCTTTTTTTTTTTTTTTTTTTTTTGAGTGGTTTTTGCCTTTCCAAACATGACTGCTTCTCCTAAGATGGCTCCATAGTGTCTAAAACTTTTCTAGATGGCTGGAGAGAACAGGATTTCCCTAAGGCTCTGTGGTGGCTTCATGCTTCCATTGGCAAGAACACTGCCATGTATCCATCCCCTGGGCTTTAGTGTCTTCTCCCATTTGTCCAGAAAAGCATGATGAAGGAAATGGAACTGGTAACAGAAATCAGGTAATGTTCAAAACAATGACCACAACAAAACCCTAAGAATAAAAAAATATTTTGTACATTTACTTAAGTTATCTAGAGTAGACAAATTCATGGGAGATGGAAAGCAGAATGGTGGGTCCAGGAACTGAGGAAAGAGGAAGTAGTGGGACATGAGTTATTTTAAAGAGTGTAAAGTTTTAGTTTTGTAAGATGGAAATGTTCTGAAGATTGGTTGTACGACAATTTGAATATACTTAACACTAGTGAAATGTACACTTAGAAATGGCTAAAATAGTATATTTTATGTCTTATATATATTTTACAATAAAAAAAGTCTTTTGTGTATGTGCAGACACACATGTATGCCCTCTCAAGACCAAAGACTGCATAGCAAAAAATATCATGTCCTTTAGAAGCCATTTGTGATCCTCACCTTTACAAATGAATCTGGTGCCACTTACACTTCTGGCTTCAGCTCCTATGGTAGCAATTACTAACCTGTCTACAGGTTGCATGAAAACATTCTCTATCTACTACCTGGCTATAACCCCCAGTAACTGCCATGCTACACTCCACCACATTCATCGTCTTTAAGGGGTTAGTGAGCTCCTTGGAAACATTCGAATATCTGTTATATACATAAATGAATAGAACAAATAGAGCTGTTAATAAATTACATTTATTTTCTGGAAATTATTTATTGACCTATGCTATGGTTTAGATATGACTTATCTCCTATGAAATGCATATTGAAATTTGATTCTCAGTATGACAGTGTTCGGAGGTGTGGTCTTTGAGAGATGATTTGGTCTCCTGGGAGTTAGATCTCAAGAGAGTGAGTTACCTTTGGGACCAGCAGTTGCGTAATGGCTATGTCACTGGACTCCCATGTAGTCTATCACGGTTCAAGTCCTGGACCCAGTGGCTTAAACCTATGCCGGGCGCATGTGCATGCATGCCCAAGATCCCAAGTGGAGAATGGAGGAGTAGGGATTTTGGTGTGGCCATGCCCCCTAGGGGGTGATTTCTTGCTTTCTGTCTCTGTCTTTCTAGCAAGCGCATGCTCTCTATAGCAAAACAAAACAAAAAACAAAACAAAACAAACAAACAAAAACTTCTCAAAAGAAAAGAGAGAGTGAGGAGTTATTTTCATAATGGATGGTTACAAAACAAGCCTGGCACCTCCCGTCTCCTGCACATGTGTGCACCCATGCACACCTGCCATGTGATGCCATCTGTCCTGTTAGGTATGACACAGCATGAGGCCCTTGCAAGATGCAGCCACCAATCTTGAACTTCCTAGTTCCTAGAGTTATGAGTTGATAGAAACCTTTTTTCTTTATAAATTACCCAATCTCATGTATTCTATTATGGCAACAGAAAATGGACTAAAGCAGCCTACTTTTGATAAATTATTTCCTGTCCTCCTCCTTCCTTCCACCCCCTACTGGGCACATGGGCTCACTGCAGACAGACAGAGGTAAAGTGAGAAATCACCCACTGTGGGGATGGTCATGTTGCCTTCTCCTTTATCCACCTGGGATTTTGAGCATGCACTCAGATGTGCCTCAGTGTGATTTTCAAGCTGCTGGGTCTGAGACTCGAACCAGTCATGTGGGAATCCAGCCTTACCACCATACCACCTGCTGGCTCCTCTTGTCCTACTTTTAATTCTAAGTTTAACGGGTTGGACAGTGGTACAGAGATAATGTGACTCTCTGAGAGGCTGAACCATCTGGATTTGTGTCTAGAGACCTCCCTGAGTATGCCAGGTACGCATGTGCCCATGACCAGGATAGGCCGAGGGTGGAGGTGGATAATGGCATCAAGATCCTGTTGAGGGCACTATCTCTCTCTCTTTGTCTATCTCTCTCACTTGTGGAAGTAAGAAATAAGTTAATAAATTCTAAGTTTAAAACAAAAGTAATAAGATTGATGATTAGAAATTGGATTATACTATTTTGACTCAAGAAATAAAGTATTAGATTGCCACATTTATAGACAAGTTTGAGGAAAAAACCTACATGTAAGATTTTGCTTAGCCTAAGAGATAATTTTTATGCATCATTAGTATAGTAATTATCTCTCTGTAGCAAATAAGCCACTAGACTGAATAATCACATAATAAATATTACAAGCCTGGAAAAGTCCATTTCCTAAGAAAGTTCTTTTGTCTTCCTCTACTTAAAAATTATAAGAATGCAAAGGAAACTATCAAATCAAGTACATATATTTTGATTTTGATTTTGTCAGCTCTTTATAGTTTTGGTCTTTTTTTATTTTTTTAGTTGCTAGAAGGCATGTGCATTGACTAGAGACAGAGAAGCAGAAACAGAGAGAGAGAGAGAGAAAGGAGGGAGGGAGAGGAAGTACACAGTCTCCACAACCCCTTCTCCTCATTTCTCCATGCGATGGGATTTGGGGCATGTACATACATATGTCTATTATGTTTTCAAGCTGTCAGGATCAGGGTCAGGGCCAGGACTCAAACCGCAATTAGACTACCAACTTCCCTTAACCACTAGGCTATGGGGCCAGCCCTCCAGTTATTAATATTAATTTCCAAACGTTCAGAGTTTTGCTTTGTTGTTTTGGTTTGGTTTAATATGCTAGAAGGTGCATGTGCTTGCTGGAGAGAGACGGAGGGGAAGGGAGAATGAGAAATCATGACCTATGGAGGATGGTCATGCTACAATCCCTTTACCATTTCTCCTTTTGGGATTTTGGCCACATACACATATGCCCAATGTATTTTTCAAGCCATGAAGTACGAGACTCAAACTTCACAGTCAGCCATGTGGGATCCACCCACTTCAAACACAGCACCACCACTTGGCCCAAGAGGGTTTTTTTTTTTTTTAATTAGTATAAATTATTCTATAGTAA